CAGATGTCATCAAATTTGTGAACTTAAAAAAACAGAAAATGTCCCCCCAGGCCAACTCTTCCTTTACAGTGCTGTCAAGCATGAATGATGTTTTATTTCCAGTGAAACTGCAGATTTTTGTGTCCCTTTCGAAAGACATTGAACTGTTTCTGATAAAATATGAGAGTGATAAAACATTGCTACCTTTCTTTGCAGATGATCTTTTTAGCATGACCATGAAACTGAAGATTTATAAAGGAAGAACACACTAAAAAGATAATTACATTTTCCAAACTGAATGAATTTGTAAGAATTTTGTCAAACCCAAACATGCATAAAGATACTGCATAGATCGAGTGTGGATTTCTGGCAGAGATGACGATGCAAAATTTAATAAAAAATGGAAATGTAACATTTAGATTTGTTTGTCTTTGTTGAAATTCTGCATACAATGTTCATCACCATTATTGAGAAACTTCTGTCAAACTCTCCACCAACAAACTCTGGTTGCACAGTGCATTATCATGGACTATTTGGTCACAGTTGGAGATGCTGGTAATGTTCCCATGACAAAGGCTCTTCTCTGCAGTGCTTCCAATGCCAGAACAGCATACAACCAATACATTGAGGGTGAGAAGAAAAAAAAAAAGGCAAGAAGAAGCAGAAGAAACAAAAACTGGAAATTGAAGAACTGAAGACCAAAAAACATAAGCTTGAAAATTGTACGCAAGATTTGCTCAAGTTGGCTGACAGCTGATCAGACACAGGACTTCACAATTACCGCAAAGTCCAATGCCATGCGAAGATCTGCAAAGGACAAATCCGTAGAAATATCCAAATTGGAAGACTAGCTGAATGCTAAAGTAATTGAACTGGAAAAGATGTTAACATCATTGTGCCCTGTGCCATGTACAATGAAAGCCATAAGTAGGGGTAGCCAAAAATGATATTTTCTATTTGTATTTCTGTTCATTAAACCATTATACTTCACAGGAAATGTGCAACAGTAAGAATTAATGTGTATAATTCAAAAATTTCAAACATAGTACAACTTCAAATGCTACACAAAATGTGTAACATAACCAGGTCTGCATTTAGTTGTATTTTAGCCTTCAACACTTGGATTTCTTCACTGCTTTCAAATGATCCATGTGACATGAATTATTGGAACCAACAATAGGTTTTCTTTGGGCATTTGTGTTTTTGAAATTGATCATTCACTTTGTGTGTCTGTTTCAGTCCTTGAAACATATTAACATAGTTCTGGAAAAGTCCTGGAATTTTTTTTACACAGATCTGTGGGAACCCTGTGTTCTTTCACCCTGTGTTATTTTCAGTTGTGATTGATCATTAACCAAAATGAAACTTTATTCAGTAAAAATCCTTCTTTATTCTTAACATGATGATTACAAATTTTATATATATATATATATATATATATATATATATATATATATATATATATATATATATATATATATATATATATATATTAAAAGCAGAGTCTTTAGAAACCCATGGTAATATTTTATTTTTTGAAACTGATATTTCGGTTTCACTTCATCAGACCAAACAGTTTCAACAATAAAAGTAAGAATAAAGATTTTTATTGTTGAAACCATTTGGTTTGAAGCAAAACTGAAATATCAGTTTTGCGAAATAAAATATTACCATGGGTTTCTAAAGTCTCCACTTTCTTAATTATTATTTTCTCTGTTCTTACATTGAGCTCTCTCTAGATCTATATCCTCTTTGGAGTTATCCATATGGATGACCAAATAATTTTATTATATATATATATATATATATATATATATATATATATATATATATAACAACAACTTATGAGGTGCTGGTAATTAAGTAAACTTTTTTTTTTTTTTTAATTATGTGAAACTAATTTTATAAAGAAATTAACCAGATTATTATTTATTTTTATTTTTTCAGAAAGATGGAGATCATTTACCGCGTCAAGCAGTGATTAATCATTGTGTCAGTGACTTGAATTTTCTTTTGTTTATTCAAAACATGGTCTCAGATTATGTTCAGGTGCGTGTTCATATTTGCAATTTATTATTATTATTGAAACAATAAAAATATGAAGTAACCACCAATGATTTAATTAGTTTAGTATCAACTGTATTTCATTATATTTTAGAAATAAATATATATTTACAAAAATATTGAATAATAATAACTCTGTTTCAACATTTCAGTAAAAATATTATGCCAAAATATTCTTTGTTTTTGCTTTCATAGGAATTTTCCAAATCTCCTCCAGTGGAACCCCGACTTCGGCATGTCTTTGTGTTCTACACTCAGGTTGTATGTGGAATTCTGAATACCCAGGAGCTATCCGAGAAGCTTACTGGTGTTGTGATCCCTTTCATGGGAGAAGGTCTTCGTGGGAAATTTACAGATTACAGATCAAGCTCCTTGATGATTTTAGGCATTATCCTTACTCATTGTAAACTCACAGCTGCTGTCCTGAAATCATTTCTTGTTACTCTCACAAAAGTGAGTAACTTTTTTGGTGGATTTAACAAGATTTTTTTTTTTTCACCCCCCCCCTTTTCTGCTATTATTGAAAATTCCAATTTTAGTGCCATGTTACTTTGCTTTTATAGAATGTATATCAAGTATTTGAAAATATTTAATTGAATTATCTCCCTTGAATAAGTGTAAATGAGGGCCTGGGCTGGAATTGGCATTTTAAATTATCTACAAGTTCTCTGACATCATTTTTGACCACATATTTTAAACTTTCTTCATTGATTGTTTGATTTTTGCAACTGAAGCATCCACTTTGTTTTCTTAAATAAAATTTATTGTATTATTGATTGTTCACTAAAAATTGAATTTATATTTCCTTGTAGATTTATCCTAATTTGGTTCAAATCAAATATAAAAACAAAACCTGTAGTGTGTCTGTGCTTTTGAAAAAGTTAAAAAAGAGTTTGTTTTAAATTACAAAATTATGAACTAGTAATATAATTCTTAAATTGCGTAATCTTAGGAAAGTATGTTGTTATTATATAACTCAGTTTGCTTTTATAATAAATTCCATAAAATCAGGTGAAGAGAAAAAAGTTGTTAAAATGATGAAAAGTGAAAAGATTTATTTTTTCTTCTGAATAATAGTCTTTAAATTCTTATTTCAGTATACAGTTAACTATCCAGATACATTTGAAGAGGCTTTGTGTTGTATTATTCTAATATTCCAGACACAGAATATAAAGAAATTAAAAAGAAGGTGAGTCATAATATTTAAGAGGAAAATGCTTTCATTACAAACCTGAATTGCTTTTCATCTTCTTTTTTTTTCTACTTTTGGCTTTAAATTTAAAAAGAAAAAATTGTATCCAGAAACGAAAATGAAAATGTTTGGCATAAATTTATAAAACTCCAGAAATGAGTATTTTATTTCAGAAGGAAAGTTGCAAAACATTCAGCCCTACTCATGAATAAATGTTTTAACATTGTTACAAAAAAGTTGAAATAACTAAAAAAAAAATCTCTTAAATACAAGTCTACCAAATGATACTTATTTTGAATCTTAATTCATATAATTATACGTGCTCAAAAATTGGCAAATTAAAAAAAATACTGTTCTTAATGTTTTACTTAATGCATTAAAACCTGATGTATTTAAAGGGTTTCTGTATCCACCAACATATTGATTCAAATACCATCCAATGTAATTTTTGGTATTGCCAATGTACATTAAAGTCTGATAGCAACTTAATTTAGAAAAACAAAATTACCATCTAGGTTAGTAGGAAAAGAAGTCACTATAACTGTTACATTGAAACCATTTTTCAGTAACTTTTTTTTTTTTTTTAATCAATTTTCAATGACTAGGAATAATTAATACAAGAAAAACAAAATGACATTCATATTTACCTTTGTACTCAATGAGGAATTTGTATAGAAATCAATTTCACTGGTCTATCTAAATGCACAACACTTCCGTAGCTGCATTATTATGGTGTTGTTGCCTCCCTGTATTGGCCTGTTTGAGGGATGGGGGAGGAAATTTCCAATTACCAGAAGACAGTCATGGCAATTAAGCTAAATGTCCCCCAATAAAAATCTGTCACAAAATAGATTGTATAGTCTGCTACTATGCACTTTTACTGATTTAGGAATAGCATTATGTTGTAACCTAGGAAAGGTTACTGAATGAGGAATGAGCAAAACGAGGTTGGAAATGAAATGGTAATCTTTATAACATCAACAAAATACAATACTCCCTAGCGACGTGAAGTAGGTAAACCACTGCTAGTGGAGGACTACTTTGCATATTACTCCCACTTACAATAGTGTTCAATGTGTTTATGAGGATTGGGACATACCCATTGGTGTTCATAGGTATAGTATATAACACATTAAGTCCCAGTTAGTTTATAGGGTCTTGTATTTCACAGTGTCTTGAAAATGTGTATATATGCCAAGAGCAGACAAGTTTTGTAAAGACATAAATATATCCATATCAGTGGGCGTTTAAAACGATAATACTGGTGTGTGCGTGTTTTTTTTTTTTTTTTTTTTTAACAAAGATCACCACACAAAACAAAGCTCTTTTGCAATGTTTTATAGTTTAATTGTAAATATATAGCCTTACCCTTGCTCAAACTGTCCACTAACCAGCTAATAAATACACCAAGTTGCATTTTAATTCTCAATTTTGTCAGTATACATCAAAAGCTGCTGGGAAAGCATCTGCTGTATGCTCACAACACAAAGAAAAATGTCATGTTGAGAAATAAGAACACGAACCTTGTTTCCCATATTATATGGAGATATTTTATTCAGGGTATTTTGCCTGCTTGTCTAAGTAGGTGACACTTTGGAAAATTTCTTTGTTGATCTCCTACATCCGCTTTTCTACTTACCAACTCCTCACCTATCTACACATCCCTAGGTGTGGCTAGCAATATGAACAGGTGTAACAGAACCAAGTAACAGACAAGTCCATCCAGAACTGACTCTCCAATCCCAAGTATGACTGTTAATGTAGACCAGCACCAGGAAATAATCACTGTTGTCACTTGGTCTCACAAAAAAACCCCCCGTATTCACCCATTTACTTTTCTGTGCCACTTTTGGCAAAGTCTGCACCGCTTAGAAGATCATACTTCAAAAGGAGCCGCCTGCTGACTATCAAACAAACACTTAAGATCCAGATAAAACCACAGCTTCCACCTTCCTTTTCTATATAGGTGCCCATAGTATTACACAATGATTTTTATATATATATATATATATATATATATATATAATGTCAAGCTTTCATATTTTCAGTTTGAATTTTTAGAATGTGGAGTTATCCTTATTTACATGTGGGTTTTTGTCCTCATCTTTATTGTTGTGATAATAGCAACAAAGGTGAAGAAAATAGTCCACATGTAAGCAATGTAAACTTCTATATTTTATTTTCTAAGCTTGCTTTTGAGTGATGATATGAAAAAAATCTATTTAAATTTTTCAGATTTTGCAAGTATTTGGTTGCTTATCCACAGTTTGTGGTGGTTCTTGAAAAACTTGGTAAACAATTCAAATTGGATCCTTTCTTAGTTGCTTTCTTCCATCATCTTGTCCCTTATGCTTTGGGGAATTCTTCAAGTGCTGTCACAAGTGGAAGTTCCGAAGATGATCTGAATATATCATGCTCCCAATACAAGAAGGTCCTGCACAACATGCTTCTGTACATTCCCATGGAAACATCAACATCTTTCAATGTCGCTTCGTAAGTTCTTAAAGTGAATTCATTTTATTAATTGGTCAGTCATGTGTGTGATTGCAAAAATGTCTTTTTGTTCTCATTTGATTTGGTCTCAAGTAAAAGGAGAAGTTTTAAAATCCGTATATGAACCACTTTTCTACAGCATGATTAACTGGTACCAAATTCACATTGAATGATCCCCCTCCCCCCGGGGGGTGGTGGATGGGATTAGTATGAATTCTTGGGATTCCTTTACTACTGTGCTGTAATTAAAGAACCACCATATTAGACATGAATATTCTGTTAAAACGGTCAGGAAAGAAACTTTCTTTTGTCGGAAAAAATATGTAAAATTATTTACACTGGGGCAATTTCTTTGTAGAAAATTTAAGGAACTTAAATTGGTGTTAATGATTGTGTGTATGTTGCATAAAATATATAATTGTTTACTTGGTTTGGCACAAGGTCAATAGTGGAAAGATCTAGTGAAACTTTAGCTAATTACGGTTGCCATGGTCTGCAAGAATATTTGGCGTGCTATGAATTACAACATTTGATATAGAATCACCGGGAATATTTAAAACCTTTCCTCTGATGTTTGTCTACCAAGAATAGCACACCTCTCTCTCTCACTCTCCCCCTTCCTCCCTCCCTCCTTGGATGGGTGTTTATATATCAGTGTGTTATATGCTTTTTCCCATGCATACTTATCCTAGGCATAGATGTGCCACCCACTTGTTTACATATTGTGGGCAGCCAATGACATTGGGTCAAATGCATATCTACACCCTGTCACTAGGAAGTCATCTTTTAGGTTAACTTGCTGATGCACCTTTCTCTGAAGGGCATTGACTGTGATGTCTATTCCAGCATCATTTGAGGTGAGTCTAGTACATACTACACAGACATTAGTCACAGCAGTGAATGGAGGGATGAGATGAAGGAAAGGAATATTTCTCAAGAAGTTGGACATTATATAATTAATATTATTTGATACTTAAAAACTAACATAAATGGTTGCTCATGCTGAAAATATTAAAAAACTTCAAAAATCTGATAAATGATAATAGACTTGTACTGTTTTGAACATATTTTGCTTGGTTGCTGTCTTAAATAGCTTCAATTTTCTCGGAGATATTTTTATTTAAAACTGAAAAAAAAAAAAAAATGTTTCTCATAAATGTTATTTTGTTTCTCTACAGATGTGTCCTCCAGGCATACATTAAACAATGTAGTGAACTTACTGACTCTAATAACTTCCAGCTTATCTGTGGAATAATTAGATTATTGGAATCCAAGTATGTATTCTGTTTTATTACTTAAATGCTCATGTACTCTGTTCTCCAGTACTCAGGCACTTGTGTACTCTGTTTTTCAGTACTCGAATGCTTGTGTATTCTGTTTTAGTATTATTATATAGATAATCTAATTCTTTTTAGACCAATCTAAACTCCTGAAAGAATTTTTTGATATTTTTTTTTTTTTTTTTTTAAATAATTTAATGCCCTCTGCACACTCTTTTCTCCTACTGAAGAGGTACTACCATACAATAAAAGACAGGAAAATTAAATAAGCTATTCTTTAATCATTTTCAAATGAGTTCGTAGAATTAAATTTTTTTTTTTTTTTTTTTTTCTTGTCCACTGGGAAATCAACCCCCTAAGAAATATTTTAAAATCTGTTTCGTCTTGGATTGGATTCTTTTTAAATATTTTAAATTTTTTTGTATTTAGACATGCTCTGGCTCTTGATGAATCAGTTCAGATGTGTTTGAAGAATGAGTCTTGCCCAAAGGTGAAGGAAGCAGTGTTTTCCCTCTTGAATTCTTCTCTTGAATCTGCTCGGTTTAAGATGCTGCCTGACTTAGGAGTGAGTCTTACATTTGGCCTACATCACCCAGAGGCTGAAGTTCGCATTCAGGCCATCAATTTTCTTGTCAAGCAAAAATTCAATGTGGTGAGTAACAATCTAATAAGAAAATGATGATTAAAGTTCAAGTTTTGGCCACATTCAATTCTGTCTCACCCTTTTAAATAAGGCATGAATCCAACATTTCATATCTCACTTCTGTTCACTTTTGAAAAGTCAAAAAAATCTCTACTTTATTGTTAAGAGAAAAAAAAGCATAAAATTAGGCATTTCTCCTTGATTATTTCAATCTGTGTGTGTGTGTGTGTGTGTCTCTCCCTTTGTCTCTCGCCTTTAATACTATTTACTAGGCTACTTTACACACTTGTGTATTTGATTGAGTCATAAATAATTTCCGTTTTTGTTTATCAACTTTATTCTTCCAAAAATAAAGTACAATTTCATTCTATTACTTATCCACTGTCATCTGCCACTTATCAAGCAGCTCTTCATTACTTTTTTAGTAAAAATGCAAACGTTTTGATGGGAAAAACTGTTAAAAAAATTTCTTGTATCTGAATTTCATTAGAAAAAGGTTTTTCTCAGCAAAGTATTTTGCAGTGTTGAAAAAAAAGGTAATAATCAATTGGTAGAAGGTCATGTGAATCTGGTAGGTGGGGGCTAGAACAGACCCCAACCTGTTTCCAAATTTTCTGTTGTATTTTTGCTGTTTGTGGCTTTGCGGTGGTGAACAACATTCTTCCCTTTAATCCACTGTGTATGCTGCCACTACTGCACAAAAAACTAATCTATGTTAGTCTATTCCAAATTTATTCTTAACTGTCACGTATGATTAGATGTTAGGATGATGCATTTATCATTAGAATCAGCCCCCAAAACGGAAATTCATTATGACTCTATTTACCGAGATATATTGCCCAACCATAAATGTGTAGGTGCTAAAAAAATTCTCAGCCTGACTGAGAACTCTCCCACCTCAAACAAAAATCTAATGTTCAATCAATTTGGTACAACTTTGGGAAGCAGGTTGAGTTGTGAAATTTTCAGCACTCCACATTATTATCTGGAATCTATTTGCATTGAAACAATCATAATAAAAATGATTTCTTTCATACTTGATCAGAAATTGAAATAAAATTTCTTTTCCATTTGTGTTGTCAGGAAATTTCCAAATTAACAACTAGACTACAGAATCATCAGAACTTTTGTCTTCATGTCTGTTTAATTTTTGTCCAATTTAGAGCATATTTTCTCTGGTGAGTTGACACCTCTTGAAAGCCAAATGTGAAAAAATGGGGATGTGTTATTTCTTGGTAGACCCACACTTAATACAAAATTGTGACACAAGTTCTAGTTTAATGTGGGGTATGGAAATGGAGAGGTAGAAAGATGATTGTGTTTCACTAATCATCTGTTTATTTCTCTTTGCAGGCAGAAGACAGCACGTTTTATGAAGAAACCTTATTAATGAGATTAAAGGATGATTCTCCAGATGTTGTGCTTACTGTGCTTAAGGCTGGTAAGGTAAGTAAAACTTATTATTATGAAATGTCAGATTATTTCTTGAAGGAAAAAAAATTAATGGCCAAAGATGATTCGAGATTGTATAGAAAAACGTCAAAGCATAATTTTATCTCCCGAAGAAAATTAATTTTTCTGCTTTTTTACAAATAGAAGAAGCCATTCCAAAAAGAAATTTTAATATTTGCATTTTGGAAAGTGGGTTGGGTCAAGAACATTTCAGCACCTCTCTGTATAGATATAATGATCATATTATTGATTTTTGATTAGAAATTCTTTAACCTTAATTTTAGTTGAAGTTGAGTTGTACAATAGTCACTGTGAGGAGAAATACTATTTTTTTTTTTTTTTTTTTTTTTGGTCATATCTCTTGATTAAGCACTCCAGATGATAAATGTCTGAAAAAAAAATTATTTTGGTTTTCACAGTGGATCAGTTTACAAAATGGCAAAAAATTTTTGACTTAGATATTCATTATCTGGGCCATCCTGGGTAAGACGATAAACTAGGGGCATGGAACCACCTTTTAATTTTGGGTGCATCCGAGGTCCACCCTAACCCGGGGTGGTAGCAGCTGTTAGGGTTTCAACTATGGGCAAATAGTTAATAAGCAAAGTGGAGTTAAAACACTATGAAAATGTAAAAATAGGTCTTAATACCAGAAATACTTTGTTTTTAAAAAAAAAAGAAAAAAAAAGGGTCAAAATCAAAGTGTCTTCTGCATATCTGACATTGTTAACATTGTATACATCAGCTGATTCATAACAAAGTTAGCATGAATAGAATTTTAAGGTAATATTTGGAATAGTTGGATTTATTGCCAAGTGAATAATAATGACTGGTCAATCTTTAAACTTTGTGCCTGCAAAGAAAATATTGTGTTAAAAGGATTGGGTTTTCCATTGACACTACTATTACCTTCACTCCTCAGCAATGTTAATTGTTTTAAAAAGTGATAATTAGAATTGTAATAAAACCTAAACATGTTAAAGTGAATTAAATATTTTTTGTTCTTGAGAATTAACAAAAATATTAAACATTTATTTATTATATTATTTATTTACAAGAATAATTTCATATTTACTAAATTATTAAAATATGTAAACCAACTATAAATAAATCCTTATTTTTTAACATTTCATAAAGTTTGAATCTATTGGCAATTAGCCAATGTTTTACAAACCATTCCAATAAACAATCTAATAGTGTTTATTATTTTTGGTTGTCAATTCTCAAAAACAGAAACATGTCTAAATTTACTTCCATATGTTTAGGTTTTATTAAAATTCTAATCATCGCTTTTTAAAACCATAAACATTGCCAAAGGTTGAAGGTAGTTGAAATAATAATGGTGCCTTTTGACAAACTGTTTTCTGTAAACATTAAGATTAAAGATTGCCAACACCCATTTAATTTTTTATTGGTTATTTAAAATAGGCTGAAATTCATAACCTTATAAGCAACTGATTGTCTGCTCAAACACATGATTTGTTGAATGAGATATTGATCAATTATATATGATAATAATACTACAATCATTGGCTAGAGAAAATAGTAGATTTATTTATGGAAGGAAACAGTTAATTGGTGGGGAGGACATCTGGTTTGATGTTGTCTGGCATATTGTAGTTTAGCAAAGGTTGTCATATGAAATAACAGCTTCCACTATACGTTAAAAAATGTTGGATTTTGGAAGCTTAATTTATTGTTATTTTTTATATCATTGGAAAGAAGAATGTCTGATGACACTGCAAAATTTAATATGAGAAATTTTCTAGTTTTATGTTAATATATCAGTGTTACTAAATGTGCAAAGATAAAAGCATGATTCATTTTATTGGTGACTGACTGTATTTCTCATCGTCATTGTTCTGATTTAGGCCCCAGAAATGACAAAAGGGCACTAAGTGAATTATGATACTAATCATCAGGGTAGTGGTTGGGGTGGGGTCTTGTTAAACTTGTTCTCAATGGCTTGTGGTTTATTGAGCATTCTTTCATTTGACATATGTGGAGATGGAGATTCTAGTAGATTCCTTGAGAGTGTTAGTATAAGAGGCGACAAAAGGATAAGAGTTCCTGAAATTACCTTTTCACTGTCATGGGTCACCTTTGGGCAAAACATTACAGGAAGACTAAGAATTTATTTAAAATGCTTGCTTGCATTGAATATGACCAAAACATGGTATGATCAAAAAATATTGGACTGGTGTTATAAAAATAAAACGTGCATCAATTTGGCATTCAATCTCCTTTTGAAGCTACACACTTTATCCAGCATGGTTTCCATTGATGGAAGCATTCCTGGAACTCCTTTTTTGAGGAGAGCAAGCAGTTGCCTTGTTGCATTCTCTTGGATTTTCTAAACCTCTTGAGATCTTGTTCCATTCAAGTGATTGATTTTGATTTTTGAAGGGGAACAAATAGCTAGGAGCATGATCTGGGGAATATGGTGGTTGTCATACCTGGGGAATATTGAACTTAGTGAAAAACTGCTGCAAAAGCTATAATCACTGATAGAATCTCTGTGGTGTGGTGAGACGACTACACTCTACATGCTTTCCTGTTATAAACAATGAAAGTGAGTGAGAACGGTATAACTTAGTGTGTATGTGTATCAATCTGTTCCAAGCGGTTTCACTTTGTACTTTGGTTCTATTATCACACTGATACTTTGTCATCAGACCTTGTATATAGGAATTGCATTATGTGACCAATATATAGGAATTGATGTGCCATCAAATATTTTTCTTGTTTTTTGAGGACTGAATGATTTTGCAAAGATAATTTGCTTACTTGTACTTTTTGTTACTGGTTCTTGTATCACTGAAAATATTGATTTCCTTGACCTCTAACATGACGACTTATTTCAAATAAATTGAATGAGTTTGAAGAAATATTCCACTACTAAATGATAGAAGGTTTGATTTCTTTTTCTTTCTTTCTTTCTTTTATTTTATTTTATTTATTTTTTTCTTCTATCAGATTTTGTGGACTTTGATGGACCATCGGAAATTATTTTCAACTCTGGTGGAAATTCTAATTGCATCTGACACCAAACAAAATTGGTGAGTCTTTTTTTCTTTTTTTTTTTTCTTAATTTTGATTTGAATACCTGCCCAACTCTCCCCACATGCCCCCACCTTTCCAAAATTGTTAACAATGAGACCGAAATGGCAGGAAGTTTAAATTGTCCTCCCCACTATAATTGGTTTGATTCTGTTGAACAACTACTGGTCTGTATGATATGCCCTTGCCCCCACCTCCAAACTGGAATAAAATAAAAAAAATCCTATCTGCCTACACAGTACACAATGGTGTTTACAAAATATCATTTCTGATAAGAGGAGGGCTGAGAAAATTCAAAGTCTGTTGTTGTACCATTTTATAGCCAAAGTAAATAGGAAGAAATATTTCCTTTTAGCTGGCATGTTGGTCACTTAGTATAAATTGGTGCCATTATAATTTAAAGTTATTCCTTTGTGTGTTTTAAGGCCAATGCAACAAAAGTTAAATGTAGTTTTCTGCCGGCATGTGCATTATGGCATGATCTGTGATGGTGGGGTCGGCTGGACAAGATGGCACAATGTTGAAAGACCCAAACCTATGACCCCCCCTCCCCCTCCCCAGTATTAACATCACCAATGATGCACACCAATACATTCTTGTAATGCATATTAAGATTCTGAGCCCAATGGATTTATGTGAGTGAGATTCGTACAACTTCCTCAGTTTTGTCTCTTTCCTAGGCTTTGTATATTTTATCAGTTTTCAAAACATTTCTTTACATTTCTTGGAACAGATTTTTCTTTCTTTTATCATTGTTTTGAATTTCTTTCTCTTTCCATTGAGCTGTGTACAAAAAATATTTTAATTTTTGAAAAAGTGAAAATGTTGGCTAAATGAAAAGCCAGAAGCAAAGTAATACCAATAGGCTGTTAGTAACTTTGGGGCCTGAAATTGATACAGCCATTGCTTCAGATAGCAAACAGACATCAGTTTGAATTTTATGCAAAAATGAAAATAACATTGGCATCTCATTTTAACAGATATATTTACCAAAATTACACAAAAATATCTTGAAATACTAAAGAGTAAATTTATTCAATAAAATCGCCATTGACTTCAACCATGATCTCTAGACAACTTCAGAATATTGTTTAAGTTGGTGAATGCTGCCATAGTACTTTCCTTCAGTTCATCTTTGGTGTTACAAGGAATTTTGTTGGTCTCTTGCTCAACTGTGCCCCACATATAATAATCAAGGGGCTTGCAGTCTGGGGAGTTAGGTGGCCAGATGTAAGAGGTTATGTAGTTGCAGAAATTGTCTGACAGCCATGTCTGGGTTCTCTTGCTTTTGTGCCATAGTGCAAGGTCCTGTTGACAGATACAGGGTCTTCCAGCAGCCACCCTTTTGACCCAGGGCAGCACTACCTCCTCAAGGCAAGGTCTCCATGTTGAGTCTGAAATCTTGTGGGAAGATGAATGGAGACATAATATCGCCAATCATCAGTGATCACTCCAATCCGTTCGCTAGGTGAATGAGTGAAAGAATGACTTGTTTGAAGATGAGTCATTTTGAAAAGTCGTCATGTCGATGAACTTCCTTTCTCAGCATTGTTTACTTGTTGCGTCATACTTGCAAATCAAAAGAACAAATGTTGTCACAAAATTACCGATTGTCATCTTTGATGTATAAAAAAAGAGTCATTCCAAATAGATGGCTGATTTTCTGAATTTTCGGTGATTTTTGGCCTCTGTCCTCAAGTGTTCCTTGAATTCATCAGTTTTCAAATTCTGTAGTTTTTTTCAAGAGCTCTCTTGGTCTTGAACTCAAAGTCTTAGCTCTTTTTTTTTTTTTCAAAGACAGTGCCCAATTATACTGTGCAGTCGACAAAATCAAGAACAAACAACATAAACATTGGGTGAAATTAAAAATATAAAATGACAACAATGTACCCATTGCACCCTGTACAGCTTTCCCACAGTTAAAGAGCCAAAGGATATTTTGTGAAAAACTTTGTGGGGGGAGGGTCGTGCTGGTGTGTGGGTGACATAATGATTATTGGCTCAGAAAGATATATTTGTGGGCTGGGTTCATATTCTAATTGGATTTGTTACATTTACTTTTGCATAAATACCGTAGGGGGAAAATAGGAATACATCTCTTTTTTACCTACCTTCACCTATGGATTAAGTGGCAGATCATAGTTGACTCTGTAGCTGTGGTTGGCAACCAGTTTAGGAGAACAACAACTTTAAATTCAAAACTATATGCAGCCCTGATGTGGCACATGAATTTCATTAATTAACTGTGGTGCAAGGTTATGGACCCCATCATTTTGAATAAAGGAAATTAAAAAAAAAACAAAGTTTATAAAAAAGAAATTTAATCCATGATAGCAATTGTTTTTTTTTTTTTTTTTTTTTTTTCTCCCCATCAGGCAAACACTCGACTTGTCTGCAGTGAATGTGTTGATTACTTGTCCAGATCAGAAAATGTATCCTGACATTTTGGTTTCTTTATTTCCGTTCCTCATTGTTATGTCTACCTCAGACATTCCACTTTTGGAAAGTGTGTTGAAAAGTAAATTTGCAACTGCAAACTCACTATCTTCAGGTAAAAGAAAAACTTTCCTTTCAACAGTACACTGTTCATATTGAATTAAGTGCATTGCAATGTTTTTCTGTCAATTGTATGAATTTTAGACAAAATTGTATGAATTTTAGACAAAATTGTATGAATTTTAGACAAAAACAATAGAAATTAAAATGGAATATATTCTTGTGTGATTTCATTAAAATTAATGCTGCTATTTTAGAAAATTGTTTGATTCATTAAATAGGATTTAATGCTGATATTTAATCGATTAAGATCTAATGACTACTTTCAGTCAGTAGCGTTGTTAGTATTAACCTCAAGGACATTGCTTACAATATCTTAAAAAAAACAAAGCAAAAACTATTTTGTTAAAATGTATTGTTGGAAAAAAAAATATTCATATAATTTTAAATAAAATTATTTAATATCAAAGTTTGTAATGTGATGAAAAACTGCTGTGTCTTTGTTATGATTATGCTCTGTTGTTTTTTAACTTTTCCTAAGAAAATACAATTGACTAGACTTTTCTTTACAAGAGATGATAATTTTCTCCTAACCCCGTTATTAATATTCATGAAATATCTGGTGTGTGTTGTTTGACTTGAATGTTTTCTTCTTTTCAAAAGATCTATGTGACAGCAAAAGTGCTAAGGATGTCATTGCTCAAGTCATTATCAAAAAAGTTAATGCATCTCCTCACAATGAACGACTCTCTTTGGTAAGATTTACTTATTTTTAATTTCCTCGTTTTGGTAGGGTTGTAGCAGCTATGGACAAATAGTGCTCAAAAAAAAAAAATTGCCAAAGATCACAAGAAAAAATTTCAGCTTTAAATGACCCCTGAAGAAGTTGGTGTGCCATTAAACAAACCAAACCAAAATGATTCCTCAGTTTGGTCTGGCAAGTTTTTGTATTAAAACACTCCACTGAAAAATTTTTTTCCTTTTTGATTTAAATGAAATTGAAAATTGAACAAGAGAATGACTCCTATTCAAAATATAGAAGGAGAAAACCAGAAGATGGAGGTCATATCAGCAAGAAATCACCAATCAGTGGGTAGTGTGCCTCACAATACATATTTGTTGTGATAATTCAACTGTCATATCAATGTTGAAATCTGCTCATCAATTAATTCAATCAAATATAGCATCAAATACATATCAAAGGGATCAGATCAAGCTGTTTTTGCACACACACACAAATTTTTTTTCCCTTTGATTTACATTAAATTTAAATCTGAATAAGAAATGACTCCTATCCAAAATATAGGAGAAAACCAGAAGATGGAGGTCATATCAGTAAGAGCGTTGAGTAATATTGAAATGCATGTTTTTTTTCTCCACAAATTATAACAATGATTTAAAATCAGTCATTTTTTTTTTTTTTTTTTTTTTTTTTTGCAAAAAAGGGCACACAACAAAGCACAGACAATTCAGCAAGTATGCGTGTGTGTGTATATATATATATATATATATATATATATATATATATATATATATATATATGTATATAAATAAAAGAACAGTAAGATATAAAATAAAATTAGGGGTTTTTTAGCTTCTATTTTTGAAACATGGTTGGAACTGTGTGCGAAAATAACCATATTTTAAATCAATTAATTTATAATATATATATATATATATATATACTTAGAAATAAGTCCCATATACCATATATGTCATATTTTTTTGCTATCCTATAAAATTCATCAGTCTTTCATTTATTGATTTTGTTAACTTTTCTGTTGTTCTGTTTAGTTTTTTAACATTACTTGCATTAGTTTCTGTTATTTTCAAGAAATCTTTGACTATTGTTTTCCATTTTCATGTACACCTTTTAATGATAGACCACAAGTCTTTTGGATTAATATCTGGAGAGATGATAGTCAACTACATTTATTTAATGTCTTTGAAACCTTTTGTGGGCTTTGCAGGATGTCGAAGAATTGCCTTACATGAATCTACACTTTAGCTTAAAGCTTCTTGGTTGCAACATGTAACACTCAAGGAAGCATTTTGTTCAAGAACTTTTGATAATTCTCTACATTTTTCTTGAAATCATCATTATTTTTTAAAGAACCTATAATTTTACTGTCTGTAGTACAACACCAAAACATTACTCCACCTCCCACCACTGTTATTTTCTAAGTCAAGTTTGTTGACTGTTTCCATGAAGAAACCAAATTCTAGCTTAGTCATCATGTCCATCTAATGTAGCTCTACATTCATCACTAAAAATGACCCTTGACTCGTTAGTTTTCATGTAATTCTTCACCTAACTTACAAGTTTCTGTGATATTTACTTTAACTTAAAGGTGACAGTTTGGTTAAGCAAGAAATGATTTTAATATTCTGAATCTTTTCTTACTGTTTTTATTTACAGCATCAATTCCTTTGAATATGTCTTTGCTTACTGCATTTTTTTCAATTTTCTCAAATCTTTTTTGTGAAATTCTTATTCCTTTTTTTTTTTTCTCTCCCTCTAATATTTTCAATTTCTTTTTTGATTGTTCTGTGGTTTTCATTCAATTTTTTGAAAACTTCCAACATTGGGTTCCTATTCAATAACTTGACAGTATTTTGTTTTGTTTCTCTTTTGAGTTTATAACTTTCTTATGACCCATGGTAATGTTGATAGATCTGAACTGGAAAAAATAAGTATCAGTATCTATTTACAATATGATTAGCAATCCTCAATTTGCATAATGAAATCTGACACCAGCAGACAAATGATTATAATTATTTCTAATAAAAACAGATATAATAAGTTGTATTTCTTTTTTGTCTTCTTTCAGATGGCGTCCATATTCAACAGCTTGCCAAATCATTCATCACGTAAACCTATCTATCTCTGCTTTTTGCTCAATGTCTTCTTCGAAATTTATGAACAACAAAACAAACTTAGTAAACTTTCATATGAACTTTGTCTTTTAGTTCTCAATCATCTCAAGAAAATCTTGCATGTAAGCATTTCTTTTTTTTTTTTTTTTTTTTTTTCTTCTTATTTTGACATGTTGGTGAGGGGGCATTAGACATTTGTTTAAAATCTCTCTCTCTCTCTGTGTGATTGCTAGAACTGATGTAGCACCATTTGTTATTATTCATGTGTTAGTGTTTCCCCCTTGAATGTATGGGTGAATCTTTATCAATTGGGGGTCTGTGAACAAAAGTTGCCTCCTCCACCGTACAAGAAAAAAAATTACTTATCTAGAAATTCTGTTCACATGTCTTTGACAATCACCTGATGTGGCAGGTAAGAGAGTACTCGGGCTGAAATGTTCTGATCAAAATAACAAAGACAAGGATCTTCGACTAATTCATGAAAAGATAAAAATACATAAAAGTTAGAATAAAATTTGTTAGCATTGCTTTGTAGTGATTTGGCATTATTCTTGATTTCCAAAGTTTACTGGAAATAATAATGATTCAAAATAAAATAACAAGTTTAATCCTGCACACACACACACACTAATGTTTGTTCATGGTTGTTGTAAAATTTACTTTACAATTTTTCATATTGTGTGCTTACTCCAATTCTATGAAACTAATGGATAGAATTTGGTTCTCACAAGGCACTGAGAGAAAACTCAATTCTTATCAAGTATTCTTCAAATACAGCCTTGTGCCCAGATTAGTCAAGTTCAACATAGAAAGAAAAATGTCAAATCTTCAAAGTGGTCAGGTTCTTTAGCTATAATGAGGAATTTCAAATGTTTGGTTACTAAGAGTGAAAATAGATTGTTTGTTTATTTATTTACTTATTTTCCCCAGAAAAAATCTGAAATCCAAAAAGACATGAAGAAAAAATTGATGCCATGGGCACAACATTTTTCAACTGACCAATTCCGCAAGCAACACTGTGCCAAGTTCTTGGGAGACTGGATCTCTTCATTGAAGATTATTGATTCTCTCAAAATTGGTAAGTAATTATAAATTGTTCAACATGAAGAGGTTTTCTTTTTTTTTTAAAAAGAGATAGAATCATGCCTTTTCCAAAGGTATATGTGCATAAGTGAATGCAATGAATCCAACTGGAATTGCAACCCAGATTTCTCATTCTAAGCTGCTATCAATTACACAGTCTTCTTATCCATATTTTAAAGGAAAATCTGAATGATTCTGCCAGGGTTACATTTGGATAAAATCAGTGGCTCCCAATTATGTCAGGAAAATTGTTTGTTTCCTCATTAAAATAATCCTGAACATACAGATGTACTGGTGAAAATTGACTGTTCAACAACAGCAAGCAGATCTACTTATTATTTTGGGCTGCAATGAGTTCAAACTCGAATCCCACTTGGGGTTTGTTCAAGAAAATGTTAATTATGGAACAGGAAGCATTTGACATTGACTTGAGCAGAGGACCTACAGATAATTTAGTTCTTGTTATGTTCATAATGTTACTGTATTGAATAAAAAGTATTTGAAATAGATATTTATTCCATGCCTCATAAGGTCATATTCTAACTTTTATATTTTAGTTGTGCTTTGACAGAAATGAATCTTTAAATTTAAGAAACTTTAGCAGAAGTGAGATTTGTACATTTTGTTGTCATTAGGTTTGTTTTTGTGAATATTTGCATAACTTTTTAGCCCATTTGCTAGTTGCACACATTTCCACAAATACAACATGAATTCTCAGCATTTAATGCCATCTTCTTTGTTGATCAGTACTTTGGTACAATGACTTTGCATATGACTTCATTTTCTTTCTTTACTCAAGCAAAACTACTGCAAACATCACAGGTGACGTAATACCAGTCACCAATATGTGTCTGAGATATATAGTCACACACACACACACACACACACACACACACACACATGTATATGTGTGTGTGTGTGTGTGTGCACAAACACAAAGAAATTGCTAGCTTCAAGTGAAAAACGATATTTTAAATTGTTTTCTTATTTTTCAGGTGGCACATTTTGGGAATATCGTAATGATGGAAGCATAGAAGATGTTTGTATTCAACTCATCATTCACCTTTTTGGGCTTTTGGTAAAAATTTCCTCAAAGTATGAAGAGTTCCAGAAATCAGAACAAAAGCTGGTCAACATCTTTCTTGGAGTGGGTTTATTTTTTAAAAATTGACTAAAGCTTTTGAAATTTTGGTGCATATCATATAACACCATGATAGATATTTTGATTCTATTACTTATTCAGTAAATCATATATTGTGTTTTTAGCTAGTAATATATGCACACAGACAAATTTTACCTATGTTGTTTGAATCATTAAAATTTGGTTCTTTCTCTATCAAAATGGCTATTCATTCTAATACTGATCTTTCTCTCTATATCCATTGTATGTATGTAATTGTTGTTATATATATATATATATATATATATATATATATATATATATATATATATTTGTTTGAATAAAAACAGATCACTTTAAGGTTCCATGTAATAAGTTATTTCACCACAACCCTTTTAAAGGGCTCTGGATCATCAGACTTTACTTCCAAAAGTTAAAATGAAAAGAAACTTACACATTTTTGATGGGCCACACCAAGCATATGTAAAATTAACGAAGTGAGGAAGTGAGGTGGGAGAGAAGATGTGAGTGAGTTAAGCAAATATGTTTGAATAAAATAACTCACTCATATCTTCTCTCCCAAATTGCTTTTCTTTTAATTTTTCTTGTGTTCAAACAAGTCTTTTCTTTTCTGGGCACATAGTAGAAACTGTCAAAATGTTCTATAGTTTCAAGTGCTTTCAGCTATACTTTAACCATTATAAAGGATGATTTTACTTGTTCAGTTTTAATGTTTTTAGTGTTATAGAGATGTTTTATTTTCGGAACACTGTTAGCATATTGTGTCCGTGTTCGTAGTTAATATTATTAAATGTTGATATTTTTTTTTTCATTTTTATTAAGGTTTTCATTATTTTTAATCTTTTTTATAGGTGGATGAGGTTATTATGTTTGTATTTTCAAACACAAGAAAAATTAAATTAAAGCTTAATCGTAGTACCTTTTCTGACGTTTTTAATGAAACATGTATAAATGAAGGATTGCTGCCTAAATACTCACACACACATACATATATATATATATGAGAGAGGGAGAATTAATATGAAAAAAGGCTTGTCATTGAGCTGATGGATGTTACCTTCACCATCCAGACTCCAGAATTTCATAGATGGACCCTCTAGGAATTACTCCATCTTCTTGTCAGTGAGGGGGATTATCAGTAATTGACTGCTTATACTTTTCAATTTTTCTTTTTTTATATGCACTTTTCATTAGTGCAAGTTTTTTTTTTTTATAGAGTATGTGTGCATGAACTTGTGTCTGTCAGTGCATACATGTAAAATGTCATGATTATTTGTCCTTTATGTCACTTTACACTCTTTAACCTTTCCTCCTCCTTTCAATTGTTGCCATTTTGACTTCTAGGTACAAACACACATACACACACACATTGCGTCTCACATGAAACACTCACCTCTAAGTGTTGACTTCAATGTTCACTTTTATATTTACACACACTCTATCTCTGATATTGAGCACTTTATCCCATAAATATAGCACACTTTAAGAGTATATTTCTTTTTATATATATATATATGTGTGTGTGTGTGTGTATATATATATATATATATGATGTTGACATTTACTGCAACTACTGACATTGCATGCTTTCGTATTTGTACCAACATTGGTTTTTTTTCACTCAGTTTGGTTTAGTTATAATTTCTCTCTCGCTTGCACACACACTTTGCAGAAGAACTCTTCACATGTTTTACCAAACTTTCCAACATATAAAACCCAAATTAAAAGTAAAAAAATTAGTAAAGAAATTCTATAAATCTTACTGCATTCATTGTGTTATGACAACAGAGCCGTCTATCAAAATTTGAAATGACTGGACATGGTGTTTGAATGTGTGCTAGTCTTACAAATAGCCTTGTAAATCCTGCATTTTATAGATGCCTGCAATTATGGTATTTTAGAAATCCTGGAGATGTGAAGGAATTTAAGTCAGTGTAGAGTGATTGACCAGGGAAGAAATGGTATTGACAGAAAGGCCTAACAAATCAGATTTGACAAAGTTTGCAGTAAACAGCAACAAGAAAAAGAAAAGAACAGGGCTAAAATAATTCTAAGTAAACAATAAATGTGAGGCAAAAGTAGGCAAAGCAACAGTAAATAAGGCAAAAAGGTCCACAAACCAAGAATGATGTTAACACACAAAAAGGGATACAGACAAGTGGTTGCAGTATTTTGAATTCACAACTTGAAAGAATGGAACTAAGACAGATGAGACTGAGATGTGGCCTATTTTATTGGCTAGGAAGAAATCCCAGCATGCATCTGTGTTTTGTTTATAAATTTGTGGAGGGCGGGGGTTGTAGTCATTCCCTAACAGGATTGGAACAAACACAAAAAATTTAATTTATGATTCCATTTCAGGATATGAATTGTTTTTAGCTGATTTTTCTTTTTTCTTTCAGGAAATGCTGCATCATGATGTCTTTGACAAATTCTTGTGCTTTCTTTGGACAAGTGACACTCAAGATCACACCGTGACAATCATTAACCAACTACAGTTGTCTGCCTTAAAGACAGGTTACATTTGGATAAAATCTGTAGCTCCCAATTATGTCAGAAAATGGATGTTGTCCCCTGTGCCAGGTCAGTGTTTTGTGTTTTTTGTCTCCACTTTCCTCATAGAATATTTATTTATGTTTGGCAGAATCCATTAATGAATCACGAAGGAAAGCTAGTTTCTAGTTTTGAGATAATGAAATAAAAGAAGTTATTTTCTCCCATATTTTTAAAAATATTTTTATTCGGCTTCATTTTATTTTTTATTTTATTTATTTTTGTTCAACTTTTCTTAACCCCATTCAGTTTTTGACCATTTTTTTTAACAATCTTTTTGGCCAATTCAGTTTTTGGATGTTAAATGAATTCAGATTCAGATTTCAAGCAAGAAACTTTTCCACTTTATTGACAGCACAAAGAACTGCTATGTAAGGGTATGGAAAGAAAGCATTTATTTTGATTTTTTTTTTTTTTTTTTTTGTCATTAATATTGAAATTGATGTTTACTTTTCTGATTCAAAATGAAAATCTGTTGTAATTAAATATATTGATGGCAGGTCTGTTTTATCAATAATTGAAAACTTAAGATTTAATGTATTGATGTGAATCAATTCCTTGGTAGCGCTAAAAATTAAATGCCTCATGAATTAAAACTTGTAATTAATTATAAATAAAAACTATGGTGAAATTTTAAAATTTACAATGGAATCCCATTTAGAAAATATTTTCTTTTTTACGATTATTGGAGAGAAAAAACATATTAGCATCTAAAACCTCGTAATTTATTTCCAAATGTTGAATGTTTTGTTGTTTATTTTTCTCTCTTCAGTGATGGTGAGTATGATTGTTGCTCTTGGGAGTAAAATGGATATGGTGAGACATGCTGCGGCCAGTGTCTTGCCAGTCGTCTACCCACAAGGACATCGAAAAGAACTTCCTTACCATTTTTTCCTCAAGAAACTTATTGCCAATCTAAACCGGATCAAATCAAACAGCGATCTCTCAAAAGTAAATAAATTTTTTTTTTCTTGTATCTGGAAAAGAATTTGTGATTGGATTTACAGATTGCGTTACCTCCCCACTCTCCCCAAAGACACATAAAGGTCATTAAGTCCTACAGATTAGCGGTGGAATAATTGCTATTTAATTGAATGACAAAATGAATAAAAATTTTATCCAACTAGAACAACAAAATACATTATGCATTTATTTATTTTTATTTGTTTCATTTTGTCATTCAATTACCAACCCTTAATTTGATATATAGAATTTATATATTATATTTCACCCTGGGTAGCATGCTGATTCTAAAATAAGGTGTTATACAAACTGGAAAATAGAGAAATAATAATCTTAGTTTAATTTGCTTTAATCTGTTGACAATCTCGTCCTCATCCCCCACACCCCCCAGATCTTTCAGCTTCAGATTTAGTCAGTGTATTTCTGTTTGGGATTATCCTATAATAAGTTTATTGTTTATTTATAAGTCACATAATAAAAAACAAAAAGAAAACTTTGGCCATTTTTTTTTTTTTTTTTTTTTTGTATTTTTGCACATTCTATCCTGGCTGGCATTATTGTTTGTGGTCTCCTAAATCTGTCCCAATGCAATCAAATATACATGTATATCCCTGAAAGGGAGAGACTAAAGGTGGCTGTGAAAAGTTGAGCAGAGTTAGAAAGGGAGAAACTTGTGGGAGGGTGGAGGAAAATTCTATATGAATTCCATGTCATTCATGTGTAATGAAAATATAAAATTGAATATTTAACTCTTACTTGAAGTATATTTAATGTCCTGTTGAATGCCATGATAACAATCTCCTTAATCTCATCTATGGTTGTTATCTTCATGAATTCTTAAAATAGAGCACAGGTCATTTTACTGGAAAGAGTTGTGTAGAATGATAAGAAACTATTGATAAAATACTGTATTCTTTATTGGAAGCCAATAGTAAAGATGGATGTTATTGCAGATTGAAATCAAAAAGACATTAACTCTTCCTCCACTCTGGTCATACAAAACTTGGATCCTAACAAATAGACATCATATATATATATATATATATATATATATATATATATTATATGATGTCTATTTGTTAGGATCAATCTAAAAAAAGTTGTCAAGTTTAGCATACCCAACAATGTGAATCAAAATTACTTAATTTCACTTAATATTTGTTTGTAGTTCGGTATATTCAACACTGGCATCTGCAACCACTGTCAAGGTTGACAAAGTGGTTAAAGGCTAATGTTTTTTTGTTTTTTTTATGTCTGCTATCGGGCAAATTTTAAACCTTTTTTTTGTTTTGTTTTTTTTTTGTTTAGGTTATCAGTGAAATTATGTTGAATGAAGAAAGCGACGACTCTGATACAGAAAAGTCCAAAGATATTTCTTCCAGGAAGCAAGCAATAAAAGACATTTTTGATGTGATCATCTTGGAAGCAACCCCATCTTACATTATCAATTCTATACTCAATGCATTTAGAGAGTTTAACAGCATTGTAAGTAATAAACTACCTATTTACAGGTAGGACAGGAAACCTGTCTTATGTGTAATATTTTCTCTGTGTGTGTATAATCAATATTAATAATGTTTAGTTGGTAGATCTTATGGGAAAAGAAAAAGAATTGTCCAGACATTATCAAATATAACATTTATTGTACTAAAGAAATAATACACAGCATAGAAAGCTTTCACTTTTTGGTGAATGCGTTCTTAATTATAGAACAAAATAGAAGTTCAGTCTGACATGTGATAGCATAAGGGAGGAACAGATGAGTACGAGTTGCATGTTCTCTTGTTGGAGGCAAAAAGAGGTTAAGAACCATATCTCCTACTGAGGCTGCAGTGGGGAAGGGTTGCAATTGGGCTATATCTCCCACTGAGGCTAAATTTATTGACAAAAAATGTTACAATTATTATTGTTGGATTTAAAATGAAAATTGGAATAATATCATTATTTTAGAACAAGAAGTGCATATTTATTATTATAATTCAATAACAAAAAAAATATTTTTGTTTAAACCTATGTATAATATGCACTCCTACTATCACTTGTAATTTACAGTAAAAAAATTGTGTTATTTTCGAGAAATTATGGTAAGTATCCCACATTGTGATAATAGAACATCTACCAAGAGAGGTGAAATATTTTAAGAACCTGGACACAAATTTACAGTGATTGATCTACAAATTAAAGCAATTTCTATACACTTTTATGTGTGTGTGTATTTGGGCAGCAGTCCCTTTTTTATACAAGTTTCATTAAAGATGACTGACAAGGTACTGTGATTAAGCTTTTTGTTCAATTTTTCTTGCGTTCATAAAAGTATTTTAGTCATTATCAAGGAAGTTTTTTTTTATTTTTAACTGAATGTTAATTTTTTTATATATGTATTGAGTGAGTAAATTATTTTTATTTTCCAAACACAGTCAGCACATTGTGGCCATGTTCATAGTTGATATTATTGAGTGATGGAGTTTGGTAGGTTTCCATGTGTATTTAAATAAGTCCTAATTGAGCTATAGTCAGAGAGATATAACATGAGTTTTCTTGATAGGTATGTAGTGGTATGTCCAATATAATTATTCATGAATTTGGTTTGATCAGGAACACAGTTCCTTAAAGGACATATGGATTCATAAATGTTTGTGTGTGTGTGTATAATATATATATATATATATATATATATAGACACTAATGGCTTCAATATAAAGAAAAAAATTTCCTGGTTGTCAGGTCTGATAATGTAATTTAATTTATTTCTCGTCTTTCTCCCAAAAAAACCCAGACACTTTTCTCACACACAGTTTTCTTTCATTTCAACCTGCAGGCACCAGACCTAGCACATGTTGGTGAAATGTGTTGTCATTATGAAAGCTTTTCCATTTTGTCCCTCTATCTCTCTCTCTCTCTCTCTCTCTCTATATATATATATATATATATATATATATATATAACTGGCCACTTGTATTTGAGGATACCCATTTACTAGGGTGGCTTGCCAATCCCTATTGCAGACTCTTGCTCAGGCACATTTATGTTTGTTCAACACCTACAGAGCCAACCTGTGGTTTATACTGCAACTATGCTGAGGAGACCTTAGTTACAGTTTCTGGGACAGAGCATATTATCTAGAATTATCAATAATCTGAATGACCCTTGGTCACAATGACTTGTGACTTTGTGCTAGCACAGCTATTGATGACCCCCAAAATTTTGTGTGACACATCTCTTACTTTACGACTTGATCAGACAAAAGTGATGTTGATGTTGATGTAACTGCACATGATGGTGAAGGAGCACTGAAATTATAAATTTCTACCCAATTTCACTCACAAGTCTTGGGTCAACCCATGGTATAGTTTTCAGGCACTTTCCAAAGATGCTGCACGCTGGGATCGTCCCCCTCCAGACCGATAACTTCAGGAAATTTCCTTCCTGACAAATCAAATGTAGTGAGATTGAACCCGGGTCTCATGGTCAGAAAGTAAACTTTTAACCACTCGGCCACACACACACACACACACACACACACACACATATATATTATATATATATATATATTATATATATATATATATATATATATATATATATATATAGAGAGAGAGACAGAGGTCACTTGGGGATTACAAGAGGTATGGGAAGATCAAATGCATATATTTAAATATCTAAAAAAAATTTTCCAGATAAGGTTAGCACATTTTGAGAATTAAATTTCATTTAGCATCTTTGAATTGAATTTTTATTTTATCATAGTTTCTACCTGTGTTTTGGCAAGTCAGATCTCTGGCATTTTTCAGGTGTCCAGTCATCCTTATTCCTTAAAATGACATTGCAGAAAAACTTTTCTGAAGAATAAAAGAAAACCCATGAAAACCCTTAAAAACGTGTGTTTTTTTTTTTGTTTTTTTGTTTTTTTTTAACTCTTTTTAATTTTTTTTTAATTACAGTTTTGTTATGATGATGATGATATCAATTTTGCTTTCTCTTTTTAGGAATTGGTGACACAGTTAACACCCCTGTTGAGTCGGCTGCTTGGCTTGGCCAAAAAAAATGCATTGACTAAAAGTCAACTGCAATCATTGCAGTGTTTATTAGAGCGTTTTGACAAGGATATTGCTTGCCACTTGACAGTCAGCACCTGTACCCTGCAATTATTTTGCAAGGCTATGAGCATCAACCAATCGGGGACTGTAGAACCTCAAGAAACACAAATACAAGAGCTGGCTATCAAACAGGTTAGGACTTCTCTCTTTCTCTAATCAACACCATCTCATGTATAGCAAAATTTTTTTTTTTTTAAAATATAGTTTTGTTAATAATTCAATGTTTGTTCATATTTTCAGCACATCATTTTTAAGAGTGATAAGAATGAACAAATATTAAAATAGACTGGTGGGGCCATTAGCCATTTAATTGGAATGATCAAATGTTTTTTGGAAGTAGTTTATCAAGATTCAGTCAAGTAGATGGCAGTCCAATGTGCTAGGAGAATAAAGCAGATCCTTAAGAATATAAATTAATGGTTCAATGGTACCATCACTTCATTGGTGACAAGATGGAAAGTTGGTTTTTATATATATATATATATATATATATATATATATATATATATATATATATATATATATACACAGGTGCACTTTAGGAGAATCTGCTAAAGCTATCAGAAAGAAGAATCCTAGAAGTCTACTAAAGGCACCAAAGAGAAGTGACACATGCAAAATGTGAGCAGAACAGAACTACATGAATAGAAAATGGTAGTATTGGCTGTAGATGAACAAGATTTCCAGGTATCATCTGGACATTTGAAAAGTCAGAAAATGAGCAGGCAAATATATGACTGTTGTGACGTTTCCAATCATGATAATAGCCAGTTTCATACACTAAAGAATATAAAGGAAAAGCTTAAAGACATTGAGTGAAAATCAAATTCCACACTTTTCCTTATTCTCCAGATCTTGTTCCATCTGTTTACCAATTATTCCAGAGTTTTCAGTGTCATCCTAATGGATTAGTTCTTAAAATCAGGTGAAGAAACGGCTCTCTCTATTTTTCTTTCCTTCAGGCCAAAAGACTTTTACAAAAAACATTTTATGAATCTGTTCATTAGAAGTAGCCATTGATTATGTTAAGGAATAAATTTTAATTTCTGACCCTTTAATCTGAATGTTATCTTTTGGGATTTTTTTTTTATTTTCCTTCAGCTTGTACAATATGCTGGGCCAATTTTTTATCTTAGGTCCAACAACATTAGCAACCATGTTGTTTATTTTTTTTTATTCAGAACATACAAGTTGGATATTTCTTTTCAGATTTTTAACTGCCTACCCCATACTACATTGATTGAAATGTGATAAATAGAACAAGGATGAGAATCCTTTCCAAACAATTTGTAGAATTTGCTAAATGATGTCTTTCACTGCCTTAGACTGAATCATCAAGTGCATCTGGTTAAAACATGATGGATAATTCTCAGTTTAAGATAATGTGTGATTCAAATGTTTACAAAGTGACTCTGAAAATTATGCTCTTGCTGAGATGAAGAACTGAAGGACTAATTACCATATTGTATTTTCAGTCTGGTTGATGTGAGCAAGGTTTTCATTTTTACTTATTTATTTATTTTTTTTTCTAATTAAATACTTCCCCAACACAATGCCCAAGAGCCACTTAAGGTAGAGGGTTACTGAATAAGATTGTTGTATAAGAGAGGGAATTAAGTGCAGATTATGAGGATATGTAGGATAGATAACTGCTGACACCAAACTTGAAGAAGTTAAGATTGTCGTGATCAGGTAAACATCCTCTCAGTCATCTGTTGTGCAAAGTAGCCATTCTTGGGAAGAAGCGAAGTGGAACTTCCTCCTTACTAATGGAATATGACGGGAGATGAGGATGGTTCGTCCCAGTGTATGTGGCATGGTGGATCCTAGATGTGAAGATCTGAATGTAGCTTGTCTGAACATTTGCTATGGAAATAGCAATAGAGTAGGAGAGGAGGCTGAAAATAATTCATCACCCACAAGGCCGCATAAATGATTTTTAATTCTGTCACGGATTTTACCATTTCTTAGTTTTGCTTTAGTCACTTTGTCTATCAATTTATTAAAATTATTTAGTTGTTAGGAACAAAACATTAAGTACAAAATTCTATCATTTTTTTTCTATAAAATGTGTTTTAGTAAATTTCATCACTCAACTGAATTGAAGATCAGGAAAAGATAAAGCAAAAATTAAGTGTTATTGACAGAATTGGCTTTGTTAATAATAATAATAATAATAATAATAACCATTACTTTTTTGTTTTCTTTATTTCTTTTAGGTTGACAAAGAGTTTTATATGAATTTACCAAATGATGAGAGTCAACAGAAGGTGATTTCTTGTTTGTTCAATGCTTGGGTTGAGGCAACTACAATGAGCACACCAGAGCTCATCAGAAAGTCCTTGAAACATGTAAGTGTGACCTCCGCCATTTCTGGTTGGATCTTGTTCAGTCAAAAAAGAAATTTCTTTTGCTTAGCTTTTTTGGTTTCAGTTCTGATATTAAATTGCGTCTCTCTTTCAACTTTTCTTTTTCAGTTCCCCATGAAGTCATCTTATTTGGAAGCAGAACTGAATATCTTTGAAAAAACTCCCATTTACAGTACAGTGAGAGAAAATAAAAGAATTCAAAAGTAAGTTTAGGAAAAAGAATCTTTTAAAATTGCTTAGTTTTTGTTTTATACACTTCCTGGTCACGACTGGGTAAGATGCGATTTGGTTACTATGACATTTTCAGTTGGAAGCGATCACAGAAAGTGGATTAATGAATGAGATTAAAGTTTAAAAAAATAAATTCAAAGACTTAATTGTTATAAAGGTTACTTTACTCAAATTATTGCTTACTGTGATAGCAGGCAAATATTATTTTGATATCGTGCAGTTTAAGAAATAAGGTATTTTGTGAGAATATGTTGCTCAGTGAGTAGTTATTAGTTTTCACTCTTTTTAGAAATCCTTGGTTACAGGACCAATATCATAACAGGTTATGGTGTTTAGGTTTTGGCAGCTTCATTTATTGTTAATCTTTGGCACACAAAATGTACCCTAGTCCTAAAAGGTCAACCATAATGTATGGAGAGGGATTAAAGCTTCTCATTGTCACTGGACTTCTTCTCTTTTTCCCCTGTCACTATACTTCTTCTTTTTTTCCCCTGTCACTAGATTTGAAACAACAAAGTGAATCTTGCTAGCTTCCTCCTCATGTTATTAAAATAGGTCTCACCAGAATGATAATTCACAATTCGTTGATAGAAAAAAGATTATCACTAGTTGTCAAATTTCTGTGATCCTATATAAATGTTGTTTTTCTCGGTTATGGCAGTATTGATTAATAAATCATTGGTACTGGATAAGATAGTTTTCTTTTAACTAAATCCTTTACATATTGCCAATTACTAATATGGCTACCCCTTGAACCACAACCTATAGACAGTGTGCGTATGCATGTGTGGGAGGGGTACATTATTTCAGATTTAAACTATTTGCCATTCAATCTTATTTTTGGATAGAAGAGCCCCCAAGACACCCCCTGTGGTTCTCCGATTGGCCAATTAATATGACTCCCACAACCAATAAGACAATGCTTAATCTCTGAAGTTTGAACTTCCTATTGTAAAGGGTGTTCTAATAACTTGGACTGATTTTAAATGTGAATTAAGGTTAGAGTTAAGGTTAGAGACGTCATAAAAAATTTTGACCATCAAATGGCAGTGTGCTGCTGAAGCCTTGGTGGACATTTGTGTGTTATTATTTTTCACACATAATTGCCATAATTTAAATAACATGATCCAATAGAGAAATACATAAATTTTCATCAAATAACACTGATTTATTTACTGCTGACTTTGATCTGTCTTAATGAAACACTCTACTTTGCAATCTAGCTAAGATTACCAAAAAAAAAAAACAAACAAACAAAAAAACCTGACATTCCTTGAATTTTCAAACCCTTATTGTTCCAGTGATTCTTGTGAAATTTTACTTTATTTGAAGGACTTGTCCACCAGTGTCGTAGTTGTGTGCTTTTAAAATCCTGATTTCTTCTATAAATTTTCTTATCGCTATAATCTTTTGAGAAATAAACTTGACTAAAACAACCACTGAGTAAGCCATATACTGACATGTAAGAACCTGAAACTAGCCTAAATCAAATATTATCGAACAAATAAGCTGAAAGAATTCTTTACCAGGATCAATTTGGATAACATTTTTAAATTCTTAAAAGAAACGCACATATTTACCAAAATCTGAAATAAAAACCTTTTAACAGTTAAAGTACAGTTTATGAATACAAAAAGTAAATACTACTTTTGACATGACTATAATGTTAAAAAGAACTTAATTTCACTACAAAATAATAATAATAATAATACACAAATATAAAATCCCAACCCTATTTGCTTTGACATTAGATGACTCACCTAGGAGTTGATATGCCAATTAAGCAAGACAAACTTTTGTCTTTCAAACAAAGGAATGATTTAGCCACAATTTGAATTGCTACTTAGAAATCTGAGAAATGGTTTTGAGAGCAATTTTCCCCCAAGCAAGGTGATAAAGCTACTAAGACATAAGGGGGGGGTTACTGAAAATGAAAGGCAATAGAGTGAAGGAAACTTATACAAGGTTACTGAGGACAGTAAAAAGACCAGGTTTTGAGATGGAAGATGACATTTGATGTTATACTTAATGTAATCCTATAAATTGTTATAAATATTTTTTAGAATTCTGAAAATTAAAAAAAATAATATAAATAAAGGATTATGGGATTATCACTCATAATCTTTATAGAATTTGATTTTTTTTTCTTTCTCACATTTACTTTGTATATCATTAAGATTTATGAAAAGAAATTATTGATAAACAATATTTTTTTAATTCTTTAAAAATTAATTTTTTTTTATATTCTACTCTTAACTGATGCCGTAAAAAAATAAAAATTAATTGTAAGTTTTTCCTTGTTTCTCTCGTGTTAAAATGTGTTTCAATTCGATTGTATCTTTCAGGCTGACTGACTTGAAAGAAGGCAATGAACTGGACAGTCTCCAGTGGCAACGTGTCACTATTGTCCTTGAAATTTTACAGAATAAAAAGAAACTCAGCAAACCTGGAATTTTACTGCCCATCTGCTTTAAGTTGCTCTCAAGGTTTGTTTAAATCTCTCTCATATATATATATATATATATATATATATATATATATATATATATATATATATATATTTATTAAAGACATTTTTATGTTTAACGTTCTTTTTTTTTTTTTTTTTTTTTATAGATACAAGTATTTAAGTAAATGCTCTGTTTATAATAAACAGTATTAAATAACATTTACCGGCCTGAATGTCCGAGAAATTTTCATAGAAAATATTCGTCCTTTGACAGGATTCGAACCTGCATCCTATACGGAACCGTCATTTATGCTGACGTGCCTTACCGTCTCGGCCACAAAGGAGCATTCGGTAGGCAAGGTGGAATTTACTGCTGATAAACTTCAATCTTCCATGAATCTCGTACAGGTTCGAATGCAGGTTCGAATCCTGTCAAAGGACGAATATTTTCTATGAAAATTTCTCGGACATTCAGGCCGGTAAATGTTATTTAATACTGTTTATTATAAACAGAGCATTTACTTAAATACTTGTATCTATAAAAAAAAGAAAAAAACAAAGAACGTTAAGCATAAAAATTTCACTAGCATTAATAACAAAAAAAACAGAATTAAATGAATATTTTCTAATTATTATTTTCATTTTTTTTTTTTTTTTTTTTTCAGAGTGATGGAATTAGAAGAAAATAATTCAGCTGAGTATTTGAAACAGTTGTTATTGTCATGCATCTGTAACCTTTCCGGTCGAATGATTGGTGATCCTTGTCTTCTAGGTACGTTCACAGTCCTTTAGTTTTTCTGTTGTCAAATATACATTTCTGCATTTCTTTGTTCTTTTTTTAAAAAAACAAACAAAAGCAATTTCTTGTTTGTTAATTTTATTATTGTCAAGGCTAACAGAGATTTTAACTTACAAAATCATATAATGTGAGTTGATATAAGTAAATGTTTTTCTGTTTCTATTCTATTTGATATTTAAACCCAAGAAAAGAAAAAAAAATCTCTTGCTTCTTATGCATTCATATTTTGGGTCCATCCTCATTAGCACATGTTTCTTTATCTTTCCACAAATATGGATGCATCTTATGTTCCGAAAATATTGTGATTTTTCTTTTTCTCCATTCTATGTATTAGAAATATTCACTTTCTTCAAGATTTATTTGAAGAGCTGAACACTTACCAGTTAATACGACAGATTCACTGTGAGTTGAACAAATACGAGCAGAAACTTTTTATACAAAGACTTTGATTCAAATTTTTAAAGGAAGTGAACAAAATGTTTAGTATTATTATTTATTTATATATATCAACAATGAAAATATATATATTATTTACATTATTTGGACTATTGTCCTCATCTTTGTCACCATATTTATTACAATGTTTCGGCCGTTGTACGCTCCAGCCTTCTTCAGGGAGCGTGCAACGTCTGGAACATAATAAATATGGCGACAAAGATGAGGACAATAAATGTCTGAATAATGTAAATAATGTACATAATAGCTCATCTCATAAATATAGACAGATACTGAAAATATATATAATGGCAACTTTTATGATCTTTTGATACATTTCTTTTCTTTTTATGTTATAAAATGTTGACAGATAAATATTTTTCAAATTATCTTTTTTTTTTTTTTTTTTTTTTTTAATAAATTTCTTATATATGGCATTAAATAAAAATAATTTTATTGAATTTGAATTTTTTTTTTAGCTGAGTTGCAGTCGAGCAAATTTAATATGGAGTTAATTGTGAAGTGCATCCGTTCATCAAGCAGCCCCCAAACGCACCACCATGCCCTCCTTTTGCTTACTGTAGCTGCCAAAATTAATCCGGTAAATAAAGCTACACTTTTGTAATAATCAATTTGTAATATTTTAATCAGTGATAACTTTTATTGATCACCCACAAATAATTGACTTTGGCTCATTTAAAAAGACTTGAATCATCAAAACCAAAATGTCTAGCATAAGGAAAGGAAAATATGTTTTCTTTAGGTAAAGTCACATATTTTGATGAAAACCTTCATTGTTGCCTCCATTTTAAAAAAAAAAAAAAAAATTGAAATTTATCTTTTGTCTGCTTGTAACTCTGAAGAACAAAGGTCAATCAAGAAAAACGTTTTAGTTTCAACATCTATTTTCATCAAATAAATCAAGGCAACATTTTTTTTAATTAAATGAAAATTAACTACAAGAAAGCTTTTCTTTTTTTTTTTTTTAACTTCGGTTGAGGGTTATATGTATCAGATTAACCCTTTCCAATTCCTTGGTAATGTGGTCTATGTAACTACGCTTATGAGTTAGTAGTTATGAACCTTATTCACAATATATTGTAGCAATAGCAATGACTCAGACTGGTCACTCGGAGTTAGTTCATCAATTAAAGCAGGGAACTTTGATTTTGAGTTCTCCAACTCTTTTGTTAATTGATGAAATTATTCTCAGGCAGTATCTTGTAAGGGGTTTTTGTAGTAAGTGGAGAAGTGGGGTAGTGATGTCAGCTCCTCTGCTAAATTGTTGATATCTGCTTGTAGGTTTCATCACTAAGTACCTTGGAATAGTCTACCTATGTTGACTGCTTTGTTATTTCTGCCCAACTCTAGCTGGTGAGACTTGTATATTTAAGGAATATATTCCTTTCAAGTGTCAGGTTACAAGTCTATTTACATATGTGAAAGGTTTGGGGACCTCGCCCACCTGTCACACATGGCAAGAGTCAACTGATCTCCTAAGTTAATCTACAATCAAAGCAAAAAGGAGTGACTGGGATAAAAATCAGCAAATTATAATATGAAAATTTGACCAAGCTCTCTCCTAGTATAGATCCAAATGTCATTTTACCAACAATGAGGAATGGGTACTCTTTGTTACACTCAGTTTGACTCATTCAAACCAAGACAATTCCAGGTACTAATTGATTTTATTGTAATTAAATGCTTTTTGTTTCTCCAAAATCACACTAGCAAAACCAGACTCCAAGGTACTCCTGGTATGCTTGTAAAATCTAAATTACCTATCTGGGTTATCTTTGGCTTGTATCCAGACATAAATCCATTTACTTATAAAATCTACACCAATATTTCTGTTATATATATGTGTGTGTGTATTCTAATGCATTTTTTTTTTCTTTGAAAGGAACTTCTACTACATAATGTAATGGCTGTCTTCACATTTGTTGGTGGCACAATGGTACGACAGGATGACACTTACACTTTCAACATGATTTACCGAACATTAGAAACAGTCATTCCTCCCCTGCTGGCTGTAAGTTTAGATTGTTTCATTATTTACTTTCTTTGTTTCAAGCAGCCATATTGTTTTTTCTTATCAAAGACAAAACACTGAAAGCGATATTGTTTTGTTTTCATAAAGCATTTACCATAAATCTATTTTGTCTACTTCGTAATTTCTTAATTTAAGAGTCCTCTTTCATCATTTCCGGGCAAGGGACACCCACGAATAAACCCCTAACTTTTTCATGACCATTTCTCCTTTTGAAGAAAGTGGACAAAAATATTTCCTAGCCTAGCTGACTCCAATCCAGGGACATTAAATTCAGACCCTTTTAAGTTTTGACCAGAGCCAGTCTTTTAACTATCAAGTACTTAACACTTATCTACCCTTTTGGCCATATGTCCAAAACATGTTTTTATCTAGATTCCTAATCTAGTCATTGGGTCTTGAAGTTTGATACCCAGGTCAAATCTAACTAATCTTCTCGCACATATATGCGCACGCACGCGTGGGTGTATACATACACACACACACACACACACACAGATGTGCGGGCGCACACACACACGCGTGCGCATATATCCAACTCATAGTGTCACACACCTCCCCCTTACTTCTTGCCTCTCTACAGTATTCAGGAACCAAGATTTACAAAGTTGGCTTGATTTAATTAACAAAAAAAAAAAGGTGGTGTTAGTGTGGTGCAAAAAGGAGGTTTAAAAATGAATCATTTTGCTTTATCCTTTCTTTTTCCTATCACACATGGTGACGGAAGTAGGGGGCAGTTTGTCATTTCAGGAAGCCAAATTTTACAGCTTTTTCAAAAATGTTATTTAATGATTTCAATAAAGTGACTAAACGATAATGTAGCTTTTTGTCTCTAAATAAACTTTGTGGTGCTACTTTTCTGTAGATTTTACTGCTTTCACTTAATTCATATTTAAAATTGTAGCTTTCTTTTGCAAGGGTTGTCCCAGAGATTAATCATGTTAGATTAAGGGCTGAAGTATGAGGTCTGAAACCCTATCAAACTGGAGTAACTTATCCAATGGGTCGATATTCCAGACAGTAAAATTTCATTTTCCTTTTGTTTTCTTGTTTTAATAACATTTACATATCATTACAATTTCTCACTAAGTAAAACAAAAACAGAAATTTGTACTGAAAACAGAAAATAAATGGAATTCCCTAAAACCTGACATGGAGTTAAAGAAAATTTTGAAACTGAAAATTAGTCCCTCTAATCTACAAACACTCTATCCCTAATATTGAGCATATTCTCTCCCCGCCCCCAATAAATATACCAAGTGGTTGTGCATGTAATAAATGTGGTTCTATTTATTTATTTTTTTTGTTTTCAGGCATGTGAAGAAAGAGCAAAGACAAGTCAGCAAGAAATTGGCACCGTGGATGATGTGGTTGTCATGGTGCTGAAAGTCTTTGTGGATGCTTTCCCTCATATTCCATCTCATAGGCGTGTCATGCTATTTCCAGAATTAACACGAATCATTGGACAAGGCAAACATCTTTGGTGTTTGTTGCTGCTGCTTATAGAACACTTTGTTGTCCATGGTTCCACCAAAAGCCATACAGAGAACCCAGAGGTGAGTGCTTCAAGAATTCATTTGCCTTGAGGTGACATTATCTACACACACACACACACACACACAATAGTGAATCACCCAATGTGAATCAAACTCAATGTTAACAGCAGTCTACAAGACTAGCTTGATAAATATCTCTTCTATTACTTAAATAATTATCAATGGTAACCACACATTGCCTCAATTATCTATTCTCTAATAAAAACACAGAGATTTTTATATATATTTTGTCAGTTGCACTGAATGACTACCTTCTTAATAAAGGAATATTCTGATATAGTAACAAGAAACATCAATACATATAGGAGATCAAATACACAGCTTTTTGCTTCTTGTTAGCTTTTTTGCTGTTGTATATATTTAACTTTTAATGATTTAAAAATCAATTCTTTCAAGTGACAGTAATTAATTGGACAGATAAAATCCCTGGTTACTAATGCAGAAAATAAAACCTGTAATACTTCAGGCTTGATCCTGGTTCACAACAAATGGCCACAGATGTAACCTTTCGCCGTGGTCAGCTCAGGGTGGATCCTGGTTTGATCAATGGAGTGATCTCTTTGATTCTTACCTACCTTACCCCACATTGTAATTGTTTTGATTATAAGGAGGCTAAGATCGATTCATCGTAGGTATCTTCGTGTTGTGTTATTCCAAGTTGAGCGAAATCGTACAATAAAATTGGAAAGAAAAACAGCACTCAAAATATATATAAAAAATAATTACTATTTTTATATCAATTCTGCACGCACGGGTTCGTTAGTAGTTCTGTTCGCATATAGGTGTTTGTCGACCAAATCTGTTCCTAAATCGGACACCACACTTGGGTAAGATGGTAAGTTTTTTGGCATGCAGAATTATCAAAATTTGTTTTACTGTTTTGGTAAGTTTGGCTCATGGCTGAAGTCAGAGGTTCTTGTGTTTGGCAGGAAATGTAGAGTCTCTCAGTGATCTCCATTGCTTCCCTTCTCAGTTCTCAACTGTCAGCTTGCAACTCTGACTCTGCACTGACTGTGACTCTCTGAATGGCTTTCACACATTCATTTTTATGGACTAGAAACCAGTGTGGAGCAAGATGTAGGCTGGGTTTCGATGAATCCTCTGATTTACAACAAAAGTCTATTGCTTTTGGTCTTGAGAAATTAATTTAATTCATAATTTTAGGGAATTCTCTCTAGTGGGTGGTTGCAGACATTGCCTCGCCTGGCTGCTTCCACCTTCTCTTAGTACCACCTCTCACTATTGCTCCCCAGTGGGCATTAGCAGATCCTTCAACGTTCTTAATGTCTCCTCTGTGCCTGCTATCTTTCAGTGAGTGCAGGCAGGCCCTCATCCTTCCTTGATCGCTCTTCTGCACCTCTCACCTACAACATTCGGTCGGAGATTGATTTAAAAAAAAAAATGGTTTCGAATGTTCTTTTCTCATAAGTGAATTTGCACCACAATTGGCTTTCTCACTTCTGGCGCAAGAAACACTTTCCCAGGGAAATTTTATTAACTCCCGTTATGGTGACCATTGCTCAGTCGCAGGTGTTCATTTCATTGTTTTTCATTCTGATATCCTATGAAGATTTAGTTTTAACTCAATTCTTCTCTTGTCAGATCCAGGCATTGGTTGTCACAGGTTGTCAACAGTTTTGTTCACACAAATTGAGAATCGCTTTCAAACAGTCATCTGGTCCTCCATTTTACATATTTCAATTCTCTGGGAACAATCTTACTATCAGCCTGTCTTCCTGATATTAGTTAACCCTTTTCATGCTATGTTATGCATTATTATCTTCAGTTTTCAGTGATATTTTAAGTCACCATTATGATTATCAATTACCAGCAACCCAAATAGTGTTACAAACCAATTCAATTACAAGATTACTATTGCTGGCATCCAAACTTTTTTCCTTGTGTCTATCTTTCTCTCTCTCATATTCTCCTTTCATGTATACATAAGTTAGATAAATGCAAAGTAGATGACAAATCTTCATATATACATCAGCATTAAATTTGGATCATCTAATGATTTTCCTTTTCCCTCATTCATTGTATCTAATGTCACCATAAATGTTTGCATACTTTTCCGTTGTTTGGTTTTTTAATTTAGGTCAATGAATTGGAAGTTGATTTATGCAACTGACAATAACATATATTTATCTAATTCTCACTCCTTTAAACCGTTATTTAACTTCTCTCTCTAAAATTTTATTCCTCACCCTCACTTAAGGCTCTTTTCTGTTCATCTTTTTTTTTACACCTCTCTCTAGATCTTTCATACATTTTCCTCTCACCCTTGTTTCTCACTCCCACATATATGCTATCATTGAAATTTTGTTTTTTAAACCCGGAATGTTTTCTTTTTGCTTTTGTATGTCTGATGAATTTGATTATGATTCCAATGTAATAAATTATAACCATGAAATATTAGTATTTGAGCCTTTTTATTATATATTTTACATTTTATAACAGATTTTATGTTTCTAACATTGTCTGGGCACTTTTTGTGTGTGTATGTGTGTCTGTATATCATTGTGGTTTTTAAGTCTTTCAGTTGATTCATTCTTCAGCTCCCATCAGACAGAACTGAAGAGAAAAAAAAGGAAACTTTGTGTTAACAGCAAAATGAACAGATTTAAACATCCAAACGATGTTGGATATATTACTGACTCTTCTCAATTTTATTGATTATACATTTTATTTATTCAACTATATAGTCTTGTTTCTTTTCAGACAAATGATGGTCTCCCATTAGAATTGGAATTTTGTCTGAGTCTCAGTGTCCAGTTCCCTCCTGAACAACAACTTGATGCCATTTACAACAGCATTCTTTATTTGTCTAAACTTCCACCCACAACAAAACAGGGTAACAAAAGAAAATACTCTTTTTTTTTTTTTTTTTTTTTTTTCCTTAGTTTAAACTGCTTCAGTCTTTTTTTTTTTTAATCATATTGAATTTTAAGTATCATTCCTAATGGCAAATCAGTTGGAGATTTGCCAATTGTATGGCAACCACAATTGACCTGTATTTGTTGACTCACATTTTTGGCTTAACAGTAAATCAGCTTAAAAGATTAGATTAAAAACAGTTTTAATTCTTGAATTATTTACAAATTGAATTAATCCAATGAACATATTGTCATAGCAAAAACTAAAAGTGTATCTGGCAATTAAATGACGGGCAAAATCACTCTACTTCCTGCCTCTCTTGCGTGTGTGTATGATATATAATCTCTAATAGGATAAGAAACAAATTTGAAACATTTATCAATCTAACATGTTTCACTTTTATTAAAGCTTCATCAGAGAATGGGTATGGAGAAACATTTTCTGGTAATTTTATTGCTGTGTTCATTGGTTTAGCAGGCTTCACATTCATTTGACTTGTCAAGCAGCATTTGTGTGTATAATTTGTGTGCAAGTGTATCATAACTCTAGTTTGTCTTTGTAGGTTTATGATACACTTACATATGAATGTTGCTTGATTCGTCAATGGCGCACATGCAGTTAGCTTAACAAATGAAAATCAAAAATAAAAATACCAGAAAATCTTTTTCCATATCTCATTCTCTGAAGTTTTAATAAAAGTGAAACATGTTAGACTTATAAACGTTTTTTATTTGTTTTTATTCTATCATTTTATCAAATTCTGATTTGTATTTGATTCCAATTCACACACACACACATATATATATATATATATATATATATATATATATATATATATGTGATTTTTAAAAATCAGGAGGTCAGTTGAATCTGCTACCTTGCTTACTGTATCTTCAGGTGATTTTTAACAAATGACCTCTTAACATTTTTTTTTTTTTTTTTTTTTAAATAAACCCACAATATTGGGTGTAATAGAAAGGGAGGAAGAGGATGTAAGGAAGGAGAAGAAGAAGGGGGAAGAAAAGTAAGGATATTATAAAAGTATCAGTGTCAGGTGGGGGGGACGTTAATTGAAATGTAAATTTTTTTTGTTTTTATCCAGCATCATATGTGCTTAAGAAGAATTTCTTATTATATATGTAAGGAATATTTGCACATAAGTGAATGTAATGAACTCTTGCAATTTGAACTTGGCTCATCTCCATTTTCTCATTTCAAGCAGTTGTTATACAACTTACACATCCACTTTGAGTGTAGAACAGAGACATTTTGGTCATCACAAAACTATTTGTAATTGTCCATGTTTGCCTTACGACAAGAAAGCGAATGTTCTTATTGTTAAAAACAAATCAAAATCACTTAAAAAACGAAATTTGAGAATTTAACAAACGAGTTTTTCAATTTTTTTAGCTAAAAGCACTCAGTCTGAACTGCATGTTGAAAAAAGAAGAGATTTTCAAAAGAAAGCTAAATCAATCTTGATTTACAATAAGACACTCTCTATTGTGGTTTTGTAATTTGTTCCTCTATTGTGCATCTCTGCATCTTTTCTCTTGTTTCGTTCATGTTTTGTATTTTAAGTCTTTCTGTTGCAGGAACTATGAAAGTAAAACCACCATTACCAGAGAAACTGAGTCAATGGCGAAGTGCTGATGTTGAAATCTTTAATATTAATCACCATACAAACAAACGCCTTTGGCATTTCAAATATGCAACCATCAACTTTTTTGTCAGTTTGCTCAGCTCAACTGATTTCATCAGCCAGGTAAAAAAATTTTGTCAAATTTATGTGCCTTAAAGTTTGTATCCACAGATTTTAACAGACATAAAAAAGAATTTCGCTCTATATTTCTTTCAAACATGCTTAATTAAAATTATATATATATATATATATATATATAATCTTTGCTTTTTATCATTTCTTTCTTGATCTCTGACGAAGCTTTAATAAAGTGAAACATTAGATTAAGATGTTTCCTACTTGCTCTTTATACTATCACATATATATATATATATATATATATATATATAATGTGAAAAGTGTATATAAATATAAACAAATATATATATATATAATTATTTATATATTATATCCTTGGGTACTTATTAGAAAAGCGCTCAATATCAGAGATAGAGCTAACATATTTGGTTGGATAGATGTGAGTTTGTGACCCTGGGTTTCATGCTTTAGCGATCGTCAGACAAACTGATTAATGTTTTAAAAAATTGGGGTTTATGTAGATTGCGTGTATAATAAAATAAAAAAAAAAAATAAACGAGAGTATCCCAGGGTTCAATATAAGATTGATGAAAAGAACGATGGGAGGAGAATTCTCCAATTCTGGACGTCGGTGAACATGG